CAACCAAAAGCCATCCAAGGTAATGAGTCGGGTCATGAGCAACACCAATAAATTGGGCTACTTCAAATGGCCCACTTAGGTTGTCGGAATGGTTCGTTCATTGTGGTGTCGACATTTTATTTCAATCATCGATCGTGGCCTAAGAAGTCTAATCCAAACTATAAAACCGGTTTAACATTATTGTTCGGATTTATTGAGTATCAAAAAACCCAACAGGCATGAATGTATATCTTGGAAGTCAAGATTTGAGGGACTTGATAGGGAGATGTTTTGAACTTCAAAATGAAGAAGACATGTCTCAAGCACAAAGAGACATACAAGAATTAACTAAGAGAAATTTTCAAAAGGCTCTTAGTATTATTCATCAAGCTCTTGATGATGCGAATTTTTAAAAGGTGTCAAATGCTATCACTTCAAAGAAAGTATGAGATGTCTTTGATCCAAAATAGATTCACTGTTTACTTTTAAAAAAAAAAACCTTAGCCAATATTAAGTGATGAAAATTAGTGAAAACGAGTTTAATTTGACCATGGCTTCTCAACTTTTAAAATTCAAGATTTTGCAGAGCTTATGGTAGTGCAATTATAGAATGTATGAAATGTTAGATTGAATAAAACATGTCACGGTTAAACAAGTAAAGAAAATGTTAAAATTTTGTGTTGTCCAATATTGCTTCTCATGTTAATCTACATAATTTTTCCGTATTGATCTAAATCATTCATTATTCTCTGTTCTTAAAAATGGATTAGCAATATTATTAGAGCTCCATAACTATTTATAAATTTTAATCAAATCCTTTCAATACTATTCTTGTGAAATATTGGAGTGTTTGATATGTAATATTAGATTATATTGTACAACACGAGTAGATAACGACTTGGAAAAATGCATTTTACACAACAAATATTTTGGACTTTGTTTGAGGCACGCTTTTATTTCTTGAATGATACCCGATAAAAGAAATTCATTATCTCAGTTTTACTTAAAAGTTCTATTGATTTATTGCGCTAATTTAATTATCCAATTGGCATATTACATAATTGAATTTTTGCAATCTTTTATTACAGCATGGAAAAGATTCTTGAACACTATGAAATTTATTCATATGCAGAAAAGCAGCTCAAAACAACTAATGTTGAGTCACCTGTAAGTGGAAGCAGAATTTTCATGACAGCATTTTTATAATGTGAAAAGTGACAGACTTTAACTTTAAAACTGTGGTTTTTTGATAGGTATGTTTGAATCTGGAATATGCAAAGCTTAAGGCTAGAGTGGAGGTCTTGCAGAGAAACCAAAGGTTCATATTTTTTTTTATTACAGTTTTTGCTGAGCTTAAAAGAAATTAAAATTAAGTTATCATGTTAAGTTACTTTTTTCTTACTTTTAAGTAAATAAAAAATGATATTTTTAAAAGTTAACTAACTTATTTCGAGTATTGGCGTGAATAAAACAATATTTACTTTGTTATAAATAAAAATAGTAAGTAAACTTTTAAGCTTAGCCTCAAATGTAGCTAGTCTTTTATTTAGTGATTTTCTTCTAAAATCTTAAATGGTTAGATATATGAATTTATTTATTTGTATTTCAACATACTACTTCGCGTGTAAATCTGAATTAATTTTCTGCTAACGTTTGACACGTATAATTTTCATAAATATGTGGCACAAAGATTAGACCTCTAGAATTTGTGTGCTCTTTACATTAAATAAAATCACTTCATTTAAATAAAATCTCCTGAGAAACTTTTGCAAAGTTTAGTGATGAATGTGATAATTTTTAAAATTCAGTGACCCCGTATAAACATTTTGCAAAGTTTAGTGATGATTTGAGTGATTTTTAAAGTTCAGCGACCCTGTGAAAACTTTTTGTAAAGTTCAGTGACCATTTGGGTTATTATCCCTTAAGCTATAATTAATGCAAGTAGAAGCCATAGGTTCGAATTCTACCGCCTCCTGCTCACAAAAATTGTTACGGTGCGTGTAATGCAGTCTTCTTTTTAATAACTTAAACTTTTAGATAAGATTCCACTTGGATGGTTATTTAATAATTCTCGACAAAGGTAATTACAAATTAAACGTCGAAGGGGGTGTCTGTAGTAGATGAAAGAAACAAAGATAAAATTTATGAGCTGCAGATAAAGCTTATCTGTAGTAATGAGGTGATGAACATGTCAAATTATTTCTTTCTTTAATCTTTGCAGGAACTATATGGGAGAGGACTTGGATTCCCTGAGCTTGAAACAGCTGCAAAATCTGGAAAATCAGATTGATGTTTCTCTTAAACACGTTCGATCTCGCAAGGTAAAAGCTATTATTTATTAACCGAAAACCTTAACTATTTTGGAAATTTTCTGTAAAAATAATGGAGTACTCACTGAAATCTATTGAGTCTCCCTTCTGCAGAACCAACTCTTGAATGAATCTATTTATGAGCTTCAGAAAAAGGTAAGAACTTTTATCTTACATTAATTTTATCAAAAATGCATACAATATTTACGTTGTTTCTACGAAGAAATCCAACAACAAATGAAATTTTAAAACTAATTCTAAGGATGAATACCTGGTTATGACCCTCATGCATCTTTTGTTGAAGGAAACAATTTTTTATTGTAAAAATAATAGATCTAGGAAATATAGTGGCGAAAATTCAAAATAACCCTTTTGTAATAGTGAGCGGGAAAAATGTCCATTTTTTTTTATATCTTTTGTATATAAAGGCATTCTTAGCGGAACAAATGTCTAAATAGAAGCAGTATTCACAAAATTATAATCTTCTTCACCTTGCATCCCTAAACCCCACTCCCTATTTGTCTAGGCATTCGCACGTTTCAACATTTGTACGTTCCCTCTAACCCCTTCTATAAGCTTATTAACTCGAGCAAAAACGGATATGGCTCTGGGATGCAAGGAGGAACAGGAAGGGGTTGGCGTCGCAAGGTGGGGTATGAGTAAGGAAGAAGAAGGTGGTGGTGGTGGTTATTGAACAAGATGTTAAGATTACATCCACGTTGATCAAAGATGAAAATAATACTCAACATATAAAAGCTTGGCTGCTTGGGAAACTTGTGACATGAATTCCAAGACTATGAGTGTGTTTTGATAATATCATAATTTATGAGGAATTCATTCTATGTAATCTTAGTGAGCGGCCCTACTTTTAATTTTCTTAATCTAACTTGGTCCTTAAACGAATTCGACAATTATATTCATGTATGTCAAAATATCAAAAACAATCTCTATAATTTTCTATCTTACAATTTCATGACAGGACAAGGCATTGCAGGCGCAAAATAACATGCTTATGAAGAAGGTAAACACTAAAATCCATCCAATATTAGATATTGGTGTTAAATGTATAATTTAATTCAATCATGTTACATGTACACTTTTTTTGACATCAAGTTTGACATTGTGCCACGTGTCATAGCACAAGTGGCCATTTTTAAAACAAAACACACTTTCCAGCCTATTCATTTTTGAATTTGTACACAATGTGATCCACATTGTCATCTATGGAATGTACAAGAAGTTTTATTCAATTTAATTTGTATTCACATATATATCTGGCAAAATGCATGATGTACAATAACAAGTGTGTCATGTATATACTTTTTCCCTGTTTGATGGGAATTAAAATCAGATTTTTAGTAGATTTCGACAAAAATCGTAAAATATGTGATTTAAAAGTTGTAGATTCCATGAAATGTATAGTTAAAATTCATTGTTTTTAACTTAAATTAAAATCTTGATTTTAATCATTACCAAACAGAGACTAAGTCTTTCTCGATGATCATGTAAATATGTATGTGTTTATAGGTCAAAGAGAAGGAAAAAGAATTGGCTCAAACTTCTCAGTTGGAACAACAAAACCATGA